CATGCAAGACAAGCCCATTAAACAGACCCATGTTAGCTTCCAGAGATGAGTAAGCCTATCAGCTGCTATATCCATCTATGCAACAGTGTGTTCTCTTTGCAGATGGTTTTAAGTAAAAGGAAGAAAACAGCTATAAACGATGAGAACTAGAAAGCTAAGAGTTATTCAAAGAAAGAAACCAAAACACACCGTCAAGAGCACTGACACTGTAGTTCATGGAAAGTACAGTTTAGCATCTTATGAATAAACCATTTTGGTTTTCACAGCACTCCTCCATGAAGAGTTCAGTGAGAAACACTGCACTCCACGAACAAAGAGTATTGTGGTGTTTGTTTTCAAGGTGGCACTTAGCTTTGAAAGCATGTAGCTAATATTTTGCCTGTAGTACCCAACAGGCAGGTGTAAGAGCAAACATTTCTCAGGTTTTAAAAATAGCAGGATATTGTAACTTGGAAGGCAAGCCCTAACATACCAAAAGCCAGAGATCAGTAGGCTCTATTTAAAATAGAACTTCCTCAGTGCTGTAGCACCTTCAAACATACCATTGTGCAAAATCAGATTAAATGCTTCCCAGAGATCCTATGATTGCCCCTTCTGCCAAGTGCTTTCCTTTGAATAAAAAAAAAAAAAATACAAAAAGACTAAAAGAAAAATAAAAGTGCATTTTGCCAAAAGGATCATTCTTACTACCTTATGCTTTAAAAGAAACATATGCTTGTCAAACTGTTACACATCTGATCCTCACAACAATCCTGGGAGATTGGTGGGGTACATAGCATATCATTTCACAGATAAGAAATTAAGACAGTAGGGTTGTCTCATAAGGTTGTGCATGTTGCTCACTGCACAAGGTTTTCCAGTCAAGCAGGCCATTGGGCACCTAGAAGAAGGAGTACGTTTTTCTAACTTGCATAAGTAGCCCCATACACCTCCCACTAGCCCCATTTACTGTGAGCTTATGACCACCTAGATGATGCCCCTTTCTAATTTGCTCAAGGGCACAGTATAGGCTGGTGAAAACTGTTTCCCAAGGCCACCTCAAAACTGCTTTTAATGAAGGAAGCACAATGATTAGAATCCAGGTCTACTGACTTCCAGTTCATGGCTTTAAATAATGTAAGATGGGGACCTCCCTGGTGGTCCAATGGTTAAGACTCCTCGCTTCTACTGCAGGGGGCACAGGTTTGATCCCTGGTCAGGGAACTAAGATCCCGTGGGCCGCGCAGCCAAAAAAAAAAAAGAGAAAGAGAAAAGAAAAGAAAGAAGAATGAATAATGTAAAATAAGGTGAAAATTCTCAGAGCAACTGAACTTACTGACATCCTAGAGACAGTCACATAGCCCCATCCAGGGATCTCTGAAGGACTGCCTTGCGAATAGAAAGAATGCAAGTGTAATGTCCATAGAGATAACACTGTCCCACCCCTACACCTTTTCTGCAAATGTTCTCCACTTTCCCTAGCCTTACCTTCCAAAATGTCCTCCTCAGTTTTTACTTACTATGTGCCAGGCACTTTGCTAAGTATTGTACAAGAACTCTTCCAGGGCTTCCCTGGTGGCACAGTGGTTGAGAGTCCGCCTGCCGATGCAGGGGACACGGGTTCGTGCCCCGTTCCGGGAAGATCCCACATGCCGCGGAGCAGCTGGGCCCGTGAGCCATGGCTGCTGAGCCTGCGCGTCCGGAGCCTGTGCTCCGCAACGGGAGAGGCCACAGCGGTGAGAGGCCCGCGTACGGCAGAAAGAAAAAAAAACCTCTTCCAGATCCTAACTGAACCCAGCTAGAGAAGCGACCTCAGCTATAACACATGGCACCTAAAAACTGCCCACCTGAGCCCAGTCAACTCGTAGAAATGTGAGAATTAAAAGCTTTCCATCAAAAGCTTACCATTGGTTTAGGCCACTAAATCACTAGGGTGATCTGTTACACAGCAGATAACCAAAACAATGTATTTTCTCACCCTCGCACCTTCAAAGCTATACCCTTAGACCAGGCACAACCGGTCGGAGATGAATAAACTCTGAGAGAAGACTGCAGGCAAAAGGAAACTGAGACCGGATAAAGAGCACACAAAGTAGAGTCTACAGCACTGTATTCCCTCCGTGATTATCTGAGTGTCTATTATGTGCAAGGCAGCACAGCCTGGTGATTAGGGGGTGTGAGCCTGGAGTCAGATGTGTTGAAATCCTGGCTCTCCCACTTGCTAGCTGTGGGAACCTGGAATCTGAACCACAGTTTCTCCAGACCATGGAATGGAAGTCAATCATGACTACTTCCTGAAGCTGCTGGGAGGAGTAAAAACGATAACGTATGACAGCACTTCCTCCCCGGCCCCGCTGGCCTAGGAAACTCGTCTCCTCTTTCAGCCATCGCTTCACAAATGTCACTTTCTCGAAGAAGTCTTCCCTAATGCCACCCTCCGGGACTTCACAACACTGTGAACTTTCCCTGTGTAAATACACATCATCAGCTGGAGTTACCTGTTCACTTGTTAATCATTTGTTAATGTCAGTCTCACCCACCAGAGACCATCAGCTCCACGAGAAGAGAGTCTGTCTGTGGTGCCCTACACCCAGCGCAGAGCCTGGCACACAAAGTGTCTCTAAACACCTGCTGAATGAAAGAAAAGCATTTAGCCCAGAAGCCTGACACACGCCAAGTACTCTCTAAATGAGAGCTTGGCACTGTGCTACATGCTTCTTCAGGAGTGAGACCTACCCCGAGGAAGGTTGGAGTCTAATGAGGGAAAAGACACATGCAGTAGTAACTACCCAACACTGCAGAAGACGGTCACTGAGGCCCAAAGTGTCCCTCCAGCTCTGACAAGGCAGAGATTGCCTCTTGATGAGGACAATCCAGAAAGGCTTTCCAAAGGGGCAGTGACACTGGAGAATCCACACTCCAAAGTGCCAGCCCTAAAACAAAAATGGGGTGTTGGCTTTTTCTCTTTAGGGCCCAGAAGCCTAGCCTAAGGCAAAGTCTACAGCACATCTGTAATTCATTTATTCATTCATTTATTCATTCATCATTCATCAGATTTGTACTGAGCACCTAGTAGGTATCAGGTACTACATACAGGAGATAATTAACAATATTAACCAGCTGACATTCCCCCCCAAAAAAGGCCTCCATGGCAACATCATGTTAACCAGGGTCCTACTCACTCCTTCGTGACCTGGGCCCCCAAGTGCATCCTCTAATGGAGGTCAGGTCTTATCACTTAAAAAAATCCATCTCCAGGCTTCCAGGTGGCACACCGGGAGCACTGCCAGTGGCAGCTGTCCAAAGCAAATTACAATTCTTGCAAATCTTCCTCAAGATCGTGAAAGCTGGGGCTTCCCTGGTGGTGCAGTGGTTGAGAATCTGCCTGCTAATGCAGGGGACACGGGTTCGAGCCCTGGTCTGGGAGGATCCCACATGCCGCGGAGCAACTAGGCCCGTGAGCCACAACTACTGAGCCTGCGCGTCTGGAGCCTGTGCTCCGCAACAAGAGAGGCCACGATAGTGAGAGGCCCGCGCACCGCGATGAAGAGTGGCCCCCGCCTGCCACAACTAGAGGAAGCCCTCGCACAGAAATGAAGACCCAACACAGCAAAAATAAAAATAAAATAAACTAATAAACTCCTACCCCCAACATCTTTAAAAAAAAAAAAAAAAAGGTTACTGCTAACCACACAAACAGACATCTCAAGTTAAAGATTTAAAAAAAAAAAAGATCGTGAAAGCTGAAAGAAGATCTGATACAACACTCAACTGTGGACAAAAAATGTCACCTGCCATTTCAGTGAACAAATGATGTTGTGGCCATAAGTCCTTCAGCCTCTGCAGCCCTCCCCAGCGGTGCACCCTGAGGAGATTCTGGACAGAGAAAAACAGGATACAGGTCCTAGATAGTTAAGGCACTTATCAAAGGAATTTCAATGAGCCCAGACTCTTGCATTGTTCCATACACAGAAAAACACTAATTTCATTAACTTGAGATGTCCCGTTTTCTTTAATTAGCAGTAATCTTTGGATGGTCAACTATCCTTTTTATTGTTTGAACTCCTATATATCCTGGCCCCTCCCTTACCTCCTCAGACCAGCCCCAAGGAGCTATCTCAGAGGCTGTATCCAGGCTTAAGTCCTCAGCAAATCTGCCCAATAAAACATAATTCTCAACTTTTAGGTTGTGCATTTTTTTAAGTGGACACATCTTAGATGCAGAAACTGAAGCCTAGAGAGAAAATGACCCTTGACCAAGGTCATCAAGTGAACTAACTAAAGGCAGAACCAGACTAGAAAGAAATTTCCCATTCTACTGTTACGAGCCACAGTCCCAGGAGCAGCCCTTGAGATAAAGAGGGCCACTGAATATTGAGGTTAGAGTGTACAGTTATCGTAGCACAAATAACAATAATATATTTTAAAGAACTTAGCAAGCATCAGTCACTGTGATAAGCACTTTACGGACTTTATGGGAATTATTTCACTTGAATCCTCATAACTCCTGAGTTGGTACTATTATTTTTCCCATTTTACATATTACAAAACTAAGGCATGGGGACTGCCCAAAGTCCCAAGCTGTTAATAAAAGAGAAAGTGGTGAGATGGTAGATGACGGCTTCAACAGCCTCCACTAGCTTTGAAGGAGTCAATGATGTACTAGAGAGATCGAGAAGCCCTGTGCAGCCTCACCGGGGCTCCAGAACTTGGGTTCCCCGCGACTCTCCCTCCAGCTGGGGCAGGGTGTGAACGTGTTGCCGCGCACGGAGACTTTCCCTCATCCTGGTGGGGGAGCTCTCAAGGAAATCCAACCCCGCCCTCGCCCAGCACATCCCAGAGGCGAAACCCGCAGTTGCAAGGGGAGACCGACCGTGGGTGTGGACCTCCGAGCGGGCAGAGAGGTGCAGAGTGGAGGTGAGGGGAGCTGCGGGCGCCCGCTGCCCGGAGCGCAGACCGCTGGGCCACCGGGGCAGCGCGGGAGAATGCGAGCCCCGGCCGAGACGGAGCAGGGCGAATACCTTTCGGAGGAAGCTGGCGACCACCTGCTCGAAGGGGTACTTGAACACCTCGTGCACGTCCACGGTGACCCCCATTCCGGCGCGCCTGCCACGCCTCCGCGAGCACACTACTGCTGGAGCTCTGTATGTGCCGGGCCGCAGGCGTCCGCGCCAGGGTAGCCGAAGGGGCGTGGGAGGATTTTTCTCCTCCTTCTTCAAACTTTCTAAACTTTATTGTCCAGAGAACCAGACAGTCGGTCACGCCCCCGCCCCCTTCCGCCAGCGTCCCGTCGGGCGGCGGGCGCGGGAGGTGCCGGGACCCCTGGCGGTGTCGGCTGGAGGCGCCTGGAGCGGCCTGGCCCCGGCCCCGCCCTTCCCGCGCCGGTCACGCCTCGTCCTGGCCACGCCACGCCCCCGACCACGCCTATGGACCCAAGAATCCGCCCGGGAGCCGCGGCACAGTTCCTTGGAGGCTTGGACCTTGCCACCGGGGCTTTTGTCATCACCTCTCCTGGAGCCTTAAGCCGCTATTGGCAGCACTAAAAAACAGTAATAATAAATACATAAACTACCTTCCCTCCAAGTTTAGGGATTGTAATATAACCCCCCTCGTGTTGCCGAGTCCTGTGTGACAAAGACCAACAACTGCATTACTCACACTACCCGGGCAGCTGCCTCTGAGGCTTTAGGTTGCATCTCAAGTACTTAAAAATTGCCCGTATCTGCATCTGACTCCGTAAGGAAATCCTACGCTCGTGAAAGGTTAAACACCATGAAGCAAGCAAGTGAATCCATTAATCCGATAATTTATCGAACATGTTACTTCCTGAGCACCTACTATGTGCCAAGCACTGTGGTAGGCACTGGATTCCGCAGTAAGGAAAGCACAGTCCCTGCTGTCAGATGATGTAACACCCAATAAACAAAATAGAAAAAGAAGCAGGATAATAGGTCAAAGTTACAGGCGGCATGATTTTAGCTCGGATAAATAAGGGAGGTCTTTGAGGTGGTGGCTTTTTCATTTATAATTTTATAATCTCGCTTACACATAGTCATACTGGACTGGCAAAACCCTAGCCTTGGATAAATCCAGCTCTCCACTTACTCACTGCCTCACCCAAGCCACTGAAAGGGCCTGGAGAAAAACGAACACCCAGGCATCTGTTTAGATTCATAACCACCAACCTCAAGGGGCCTTTTTAATGGTGCTTAGACAAAAACACTGCATTTCTCTAACCCACTTACTGTCCCAGGCTCCTCTCTCTTCAAACCTCCAACACCTCCCTCCCCAGCCTTATTCTCAGGTGATTACCTTGCTTCCTTTTTCCCTTAGTAAATAGGAAACATCTCTCTACCACACCTATATAACCCACCTGTCCAAATGCCCTGCCTTCTCTCCTGTTCTTGTGGACAAACTGTTGCCACTTAGTTGAGGGCCAATCTCTCCATTTGTCCACCAAATCCAGGCATGGGCTGCAGCTGGTTAACAAACAGCTCTCCTTTAAAAAGCAAACCAAAACAAGGCCCTGATGTCTAATGGCTGCAATTTTTGTGGTGTAAATACTCCCACCACGACCAATTTGAAATGACCAGCATGGTGTCATTTCTACCACCCACTCACGATAGACATAACTGCAAGAACACAGACCATGGTAAAGGTTGTAATGAAGTTAGGAAGGGAAGCTTTTTGAATATCTATTGCCTTTTAAAATATTGTTTATTTAATAGTAAATTTATATAAGTTAATATTTAATTACAGTTCTGTTTAACAACCAGCTGATGAGGTTTAGAACACAGTATCCCAAAACATGCACCTTAGCATATAGGATATTTTAAGCTGAAGGAGTCTGAGAAAACAGCAGAAGCAGAAAGATCTCTCTGGCTGTCCCCCACCCTTCTCCCCTGAAGCAGGTCATAAGACCCTCTTCTAACAGGTGCCCCTCTATACCCAGAGGAAAGAAGCATCTTTATCTCCAGGATGAAGGGTCACCAGGAAGAATCCGAACAAACAGGCCTTGCCAAGTTTCCCCCAGTTTACTACACTTACCTCGTACCCTTTGTCCTATCATATTTCTCCACAACTGCCCACTCTTCATCAAACCTAGAATAAAAACACTTAGGTTTAACCATTTCTTCAGGTCTTCATTTCCTGATGAAGGCTCCCATGTCACTTATAAAACTTACAGTAAGTAAATGTGTATGCTTTTCTCCTGTTAATCTGTCTTTGTCAGTTTAATTTTCACATCCAGCCGGGGACCCTAGAGGATCAAGGAAAACTTTTTCCTCCCCTACACAGCTCTACCACATCCCTAAAAGTTCTTTGTCCTCTTTCTGGTTCAAGGACATCTCAAGCCATATCCACTCCCTCTTTTTTGAATCATCAGTTTTGCCTCTACTGGATCATTACAACCGGCATACAAGTACACTGTGATTTCTTCCATCTTAAAAAAAAAAAAGTCTACTCTTAACCCCATATCTTCTTCCAGCTCTATTTCAACTCTCTGCTCCATTTTTTTCCTATAATCTCTTGAACCCATTCCAGCCAGTTCAGGCCCCTGGCACTCCCCTGACAGAACTTCCTGCTGTCAAGGTCACCAAGGACCAAATTGCTAAACCCACTAGTTAATTCTTAATCCCCACCTTACTAAACCTATGGGCTGCATTACCTTGAAATACTGAATGAGAAGTGGGGTGGAGAGTTAGGCACCAAAGCCATTACATGTTGAATGTATGTATAAAGCAACTCTACTATATCACCAACCCATCCTTACAGGAAAAGAACAAACACCAATGTCCCTGGGGAATTACACAGGCATACAAAGGAGAGATAATTTACTTGTGGAGTTGATGGTGTCTCTAATCTGCCTCTGCAACCAGACAGCAGCTGGATACTGGGTGTGAAAGAGAAGCTCCTACCAGACTGGACCCTGTGCCCACACTCCACCCGGACCACCGATTTCTTCCAGAATGTATCCTTGGACAGCTGCTCACCCACTCCTGATTAACCAGCCACAAAAGGCCAAGGTTGTGTCCTAAAAGATTAAGGGACCCAGCACCTGTTGGCTCTACTTGGGCTGGCTGGCCAACTGCCTTGTGTAAGAACAAACACTACCTGCCCTTTCCAAGGACATCAGAGCACTCTGAAGGTGAAAAGCGGAGCCAGGCTTGACCTCCAAGCAGTCTTGTGGCTCAGAATCACAGCCAGTTTGCACAACTTACTCGCTGTGTCCCAAGGAAGAGAAAGGGGCTGTGAAACAAATTTCCTTTGCTTTGAAATTGAGTGGCTTAACCAGTCAGGGACTCGAGTTTGGAAATTTGCTGGCCAACCTCACAAGTTCATGACCTTATTTGGCCTTTAAGATACCAGACTCATCTTTGTATCTTCAAGGCAAGGCCCAGTAGAAGAACATCCAATACATTTGGATGGAAAGAATGGATGATTGGCCCTTTATAAATACTGTGAGATTTAAGTGGATGGAGAGCTTCAGCCCTGAACTTCTCTCCTTGCCCTCTCACCTCTGTGCCGTTCTCACGCTCTTCATGCTGACCGTCTCTCTCTCACTGATCTTTTTTACCCAGTCTTGTAATTGTCTGTTTATGTGAATTCTCCATTGAACTGTGAGGTTGTCCAGACTGGAAAGAACTGTGTCTTATTCACTCTTCCCTATTCAGTGCTGAATAGGAAAAACCTCAGTCTGCCTCTCGTGTTTCTTTTATTCTCACATAACTACCACACTCACACTTCTGACACTAGATGCGTAGGGGTTTCCCTCACATCAGGCAATTCTGTGACACCTGGGTGTCACACTGGGTGTCCTCCAATTTAACACAATTCTGACACGATCTATCTGGAGATAGCTTCAGACCCCACAGGTTAAGGGCTCGCTCCCATAAGACTGCCCCTCCCTCCAGATGTCAAGCCCAGGTCAAGGTGATTACCTGATGGACTATAAATCAGAGGTTCCCACGGTTCAATTAATTTGCTAGAGCAGCTCACAGAACTCAGGGAAACAGTTTACTTACTCTTTACCGGTTTATTATAAAAGGATATGACAAAGGTTAGACATGAACATCCAGATGGAAGAGTTGCATAGGACTAGGTGGGAAGGGGCATCAAGCTTCCATGCCCTCTCCGGCCATCCCACTCCCCCAGCACCTCCATGTGTTCAGCAACCTGGAAGCTCTCCAAGCCCCATACTTTGGGGATTTTTATGAAGGCTTCATCACACATAGGCAGGATCAATCATTAGCTCCACTTCGAGCCCATTTCCCGTCTCTGGAGCATGGGGGATGCAGCTGAAAATTCCAAGTTTCTAATCCTGGTTTGGTCTTTCTGGTGATCAGCCCCCATCCAGCAACCTAGCCAGATTTGCCTCATTAGAACAAAAGACACTCCTATCACCCAGAAATTTCCAGGGGATTTAGGAGCTTGGTGTCAGGAACAAAGACCAAATATTAGAACAAAATATGCTCCTAGTGCTTTTATCACTTAGGATATGACAAGGGTTTTAGGAGCTCTGTGCCAGGAGGAGTTTAAGAGGTGGGAGAGGGTAGTGTAGGGGGGAGGGGGGCAGAGACCAATATATATTTTTTCTATTATTCTACAAGTGCCTAGCACATGGTATATATTGAATAAATTCATGAATGTACTTAACAGAGAATATGACCTTGAGCGAGTTCCTTCCCACCCCTGCACCTCAGTTTCACCATCAACAAAATGACCACATGGGCCAATTTTATCTCTAAATTCCCTTCTAGCTCCCTGCGACTTCAGATATGGACTAGAGACTCAGGGCAGGCAACATGGATACAAGGGCACAAAGCAGAAATCTGCAGGGAAAACAAGGTAAAATCTCAGAACAAGTTCACAATGTCAGGGTAAGTTAGACCCATGGCATCATTGAACCAGACTTCTCTTCCCCCAACTAAGGATGACACTGAGCAGACAGAGCGTATGGTCAGGTCACTCAGAATAGCGGTTCTCTTGCCCTGCTTTAACTACACCTACTCACATGACTGACCTTCCCTCTAAATCATAGAGCCTAATTGGTAAATGCCTACATACTTGCCCCTAGCCCCAACTAGCGACTGTTCTA